GTACATTAACGTACATTCATAATTTAACATCATATTATAAACATAATTTCATAAATCAATATAAATATAATGTAATACATTTTATATTATAAAACAACGAAAATACCTTCTAAATCGTTCTCCTCCAATCGCTAATCACATATAATATTCCTATATACAAAGAAATTAATGGTGTTAGTATGAATTTACAGTAAAATTTTTACACTAACGATAAAAAATGCATACCTAATGACCGTATCAGAGGCAGAAGTAGCTCAACTCATAAACGAAATGAAAATGACGAATTTTGTGTGCCGAAACCTCTTGAGAAAGATGCAGCAACAGCAGAGGCAAACTGCAATTTTTTCTGCAGTTTGCCTCTGCCATGGACGTGCTAAGCTTAGTATAGACGACGAGTTTGCGCGACGGATAACTCTGTCGTCGCGCAAGATTCTTCCGTTTTGCGTGACGAATAATTAGTTCAACATATGTCGCGCAAACCACGTCACCGTCGCGCAAAGGTTATTTCCCAGTCGCGCAAGGTACTGTCGACATCGATTTTTTGCGCGACGATGTAGTTCTATCCGTCGCACAATAATTCGTCGCACAAACAACGTGCGACGAAAACTTTGTCGCGCAATCTGCTGTCGCGCAATTTTTTGGCGCGAAATGCTATCGACAGTAGTCCGTTCTTCGCGCCTTTTTTTTCGCGACGAAAGTTTTTACTTGTCGCGCAAAATACCTTCGCGCGACGAGAAATACTGTCGCGCAAAGTTCACCGCCAAATAAATTTTTCCGCGCGTTTTCCCAGCTACTTTATGCGACGCTCTTTGTTTTGGTCGCGCAAACAGTAATTTGCGCGACGATTAATTTTGTCGTACAATTTTGCGCAACTATTTATTTTACCCGTCGCGCAAAACGTCTATGTGGGACGAATTATCCTCCGTCGCGCAAGGGCTAAAATGTAGTAGTGTTTATCTATCTCATCATCTTCATCCATAAGCATCGCTCTTATGGACTTGCTTTTGACTTTCCTCTTACCTGTACATATGAACAATGAATTAAAATTATAAAATTTAGTGTTAATGAATTAAACATGTATTGTAACTTTCACTCCATGATTTATTTTCCATACTTACTTGAGGTTTCACCATCTTTTCTCTTACAGTCAAATTGAAAAAAAATTGAAAAAAAATTATACGGAACTTCAAATTACAGTTTATTACAGTCAAATTATACAAATATGATGCATGTACGTAAAAAAAAATGACTTACTTGCATTCGAAAGATGAAGAGAATTCTTGAAATTGATGGAGTTATCTGGTAAGGGTCTAAATTAGGGTTTTACATGTACTATACAATATATATATATAGTCCATGTGTTAATATATTAATTTAGAGAAAGGAAGGGAAAAAAAAAAGGTAAGTAGAAAAGCTACAGCGGGTTGGAGTTAGAAAAAAAAAAAAAGAAAGTTATTCTTGCAATAAGTTTATTACAATAAAGGTAAGGAAAAAAAACTGAAACAGCGTTTTTTTTTTCAACACCAAGTGAATCGACGTCGTTTCACTTTAAGATTTTTTTTAAACCACTGCAATCAAAACGACGTCGTTTCATTACAATAAACCTATAAAAAAAAGCTGGTCGTCTTCCTCGCAGACGATTTGCAGAGTCGAAAATTTCTTCCGATTCAGAAGTTTCCAGATATGGTGCGCCTTGCAACGCCTCGCTTCGCCTAGCCACGCCTTGCAGCGCCTTCTCACGCCTTCCCAGCGCTAAACGTGCAACTAGCGAAATAGCCGACCGCCTCGGGCGTTTTCCTCCCTCCTCGCTCCGAAGCGCGCTCCGACGCGCGTGAAGGCATGCCTTTGAAAACACTGGTCTAAACGTACACATTACGTTAAAATCAAGAGTAGCATATCATAGGGTACCTTTGCACTTCTTCAATCATTCCATACCATCAGCCAAAGCAAAAGGAGTTTAAAATTCTAGCCCCACTTTGAAGACTGTACACGCCAGCTTTAGTTTGTTAAATCAAAAGGAGTTTGTGAAAACAAACTGAAACCTTCGGTGGGTGTTCGTGTAATTTTTGAGACATGAGGGGTTTTGTGAAAACACCAAAACTTCTGGGGGTGTTAGTGTAAATATATAGTCGATCCTAATTCTTGTATAAGTTTCAATTTTGATTAATACATTTCAAAAGATTAAGCATTGATTTTAATCCGTCGCTAAATGTCCACGATCCATCTTCACACATTTGGGTGCTAGAGCTCGATGATTACCCGTTTGGGTAGAGTAATCTTCACGCATTTGAGAAGGGGTGTATAAAGGGTGTATTCTATCGAATACTAGATCGGATTTAGATATATACAACTCTTAAGAAATTGTGCTTCACACTAACGAGGACTAATTTCCTAACATCAGTCGCTACACAAATGGGAGTCCTTCAACTATAGGAAACAGAAGACAAGACTAAACAGAAGACAACACAAAAGAGCTCGGCTTGCGTGAAGCACCACACATGCAATTAATTTATCAAATTACACAAGAAATGTATGATCCACATCGTGGTTCTGTATCTTCAGGCTTTGGCCCTCTTTTTTTTTTTTTTATGGTTTCATACAGAATTTATTTCTCAAAAAAGGAAACCAAAAAATGAAAATGAACGTATTAATTAATTCATGAAATGAAGAAAATAGAAATATTCATCCACGATAAAAAATAAACAAACAAACCTCCTCCTAACCTTCACGCTTAATTTTTTCTTAAAAATTGTTTAGTATCTCATCAATCTTGTTGCAAGGAAGTGCCAACTACAATTGACCAAAAAAAAAAAGAAGGTGCCAACTATATGAAGTTTCAACGGCTAAGAGTTGTTTAAACTTCGGATTTTAAACTCCTCTGGAAGATGTCTCTGGAGACCACTAAAGTTTTCAAGTCATCAACTGTGAGAGCAAAGGCTTCTACTTTTTCAGTACATTGGACAGTTTTGAACGAAACAGGTTGGTCATAAAAATTTTTGGTTTTCGCTGCCCAATCCAGAAGTTGTCCTCCAAAAAACATACCTTTCTCAAGAGTTTCGAATGAGGTTGAGGGACGTGCCTCTCCAGCAGCCCTAATTGGCAGGTACGTCTGCATAGAGCCTGCTACAATATAGAGCATCACGTTAAGTGGTTGTCCCGCTTCAACAACCTGGGCATTCTGCTTGAACATCTTTGGCTTGAGATAGTCGCAGATCATTCCCAATGCTTGATCATTCATATTTCGAAGCTCCTTTACCTGTATATATATAATCCTCGTATAAGTTTCAATTTTGATTACTTCCTTATAAAAGATTAAACATTGATCTCTATCGTCTGGCTTTATATCCATCTCAGCATGTGTGTTCCACCTGAGTGTTTTTATTGATTTTTTGTCCTTCCCATAAATCCGTCATCTTAAAATATTTCGTTTGCTATAATCAAATTATTATAAAAGTAGAAATAGAAATGTATGTGGCATCATTTGTAACTAAATCATGGAGATTCTGTGGCATCATTTGTAACTAAATCAAAACACGTGGACACCTTTGATAGATCTTCATGGCATTTGATTCAAAAATTGAATTTTACTAAGAATTGGGTTAGTATTAGAGTTTTTGAGTTGAAGCCCCATAACTCTTCCATTCCCTTTCAATCACTATTTCTCTATCCTCAACTCTTTCATTTTTTTGTGCCTATGGACAATTCTCACGACACCAACCCTTTCGCAGACCTTTACAAGTCCTCCTCTTCTGACGTTATCCATCAGCCTTCCTTTCCTCCTGCTGCATAGTATGTTTCCTCACTCGCTCCTCTCAAATTGACTTATCATTAGCTTCTTCAATGAGTCTACCAACCATGCCTTTCAAACCTCTCCCTCTCCAAATCCTAACCAAGCTCTCTCCTTTCTCACAAACAACCAAACCATGCCCATTTTTAACTTCTCACTTCTACAAACCCTCTCTCCCAATAGTCACTTCTTCCGGCCAAACACTTTTTCCATGGCATTTGATTCAGAAATTGAATTTTAGTTAGAAGTTATAATGTAAGTGAGTTATTAAATAGAGCTTTCAAGTGGCAAGGATCTATTTTTATATGACTCTAATAATTTCTATATAGAGATTCATGAACATGCATCCGACCAAAAAGAGAGAGAGAGAGAGAGAGAGAGAGAGAGAGAGAGAGAGAGAAAGGAACCTACTTTTTTCAGCGTCTCCATGCAGAAATGGCATCGCATAATGCTTCTCCCACATTCGTCAAGAACAGAGAAGATATAATTCAAATCCACTTCAGCATCTATGTTTTCTTTCAATTTGTTTTGACTAAAACCATGCATAATATCTAAAGCCACATCATCAGAAATGCCATTTATTTCCATCCACAAAAATATCGCCTCTAGTTTCTCACGTATCTTCGGGTCAGCAGCAATTTTGAGAATGCCAACTGTTTCAAATTAGTGCCAACTACATGATCAAACAAAGCAAAAAAAAAAAAAAAAAAAAAAAGAAGAAGTGTCAAATATTTCAAGTTTCAAAAGGTAAGGATTGTCTAAACTTCACCTTTTGACTTCATCGGGAAGATGTCTCCGGAGAGCACTAAATTTTTTAAGTCATCAACTGTGAGAGCAAAGGCTTCTACTTTTTGGTAACATCGGATAGTTTTGAATGAGACAGGTTGGTCATCGAACGTTTTGGTTTTCGCTGCCCAATCCAGAAATTGTTCTCCAACAAACATACCTTTCTCAAGAGTTTCGAATGAGGTTGAGGGACGTGCGTCTCCAGCTTCTCCAGCATCCCTTATTGGCAGGTACGCCTGCATAGAGCCTGATATAATAATGAGCATCGTGTTAAGTGGCTCTCCCCCTTCAACAACCTGGGCATTCTCCTCGAACATCTTTGGCTTGAGATAGTCGCAGATCGTTCCCAATGCTTGATCGTTCATATTTTGAAGCTCCTTTACCTATATATATATATTAGAAAATTAGATTCTAAACCTCCTATAAGTTTCAAGAAGGAAGCTTTGTCGGTCGTGGGGAGGAGAGAGGGTTGTCGCCGGCGGGTTGGGGTTTCTGACTAGATTGGGTGGGTGGAAGTTTTGGTGGTTGTTGGTTGTTTTGATTTTCTTCAATTATTAGTTTTTATTATTTTTAATTTTATTAGAATCTAACACTTTAGGGTTCAGTGAGGGGACACATGTCAAAAAGTTAGATAGGAGACAAGGAGGGGAGAGACAAAATGGGGACATAAAATCTGGAGTGCCTTCCATTTTTTTGCTTTGTTTTTCCTTCCTAGTAAATAGGTTTATAGATTAATATATTATATAGTTATGAATTCCACCACAAAATCAAGTTGCAATGGGAGAAGTAGCCCAACTCCACAAAATCAAGTTGCAATGGTCCGTTAACATTTCAATATGAGACAAATATTCTCAACAAGACCATGATAACTAAATAGTTGCTAGTTAAAATTCATTAATTGTGTACGCTTTTTAATATTTCCAGTTATGTTTCGGAGCAAAGAATGACATCACTAGTAAATATTAGTAAAGGTTTTGCGTCTTCTAAATGACATGGCTGATTTCTTAAAATAAGTATCTAACCAAACTACATTAAGAAAATTAGTGAGGTTACAATTGATAAAGTAATACATTCGCGAGACACCCAACAGCCCAAGGAAAAAGAGCAAACTATTCAAGACACCCAGCAGCTGTGCACTACACCTCATTTAAAGACTAAAGAGCCAGCTAACTCCATGCTAACGTTGAGAGGATATGGATGAATATAGCATATTCCATTTCTATATACTTATTCTAGAGACTTCTTGTATAGGACAAATATACACACATTATAAATGTACACAATATTTAAAGAAATAGATTGAGAAAATGAATATAACAAAAAATTTATATTCAAAATTCTAGCTGAGCAATCTTCTTCCTTTTTCTGAAAACGTATGTCCTTCTTTCTTGTCTCCATAAATGAATATATCCCTTCTAGTGTAATTTCCTACAACAATCTAATTTAGGTCCATAAGGTAACTTACAGGATTTAGTTGGTCAATAAGGTAAAAATTAATTTCCATGAGCTAGAGGAGGTTTGGAGGGAGTATTTGAACTAACAAGAATATTGTAGCCTATATTTTATTATGGAAGTAGAAATAGAAATGTGATCATCGAGGTATTATTATTGCATTGCTTAAAATCATGGATGGTTGTGGAAAAGGGGTAAGCAATTAGAGGGGAGATTAAGTGGCATCATTTGTGAATGAGTTATTTACAGTAACTACTCTTGAGACTGTTTGTGTTTTTACAAAACCCTCAAAGGTCCTAGAAATTACACAAACATCCCTCAAATTTCAAAATGATTGCACGTAACTTTATAAATCCAAAAAAACAAAACAAAACCTGGATGTAACAAGACTTCCGCAAATACTGAAATACCGTTCATGATATTAGAATACTTCGAATATCCCCTTAATTCTTGTCCATTTCATATAATAAAATTTAAAATTTAAAATTCAAAACCCTACTATCACACTTACACCAAGAAAAGAGAGAGAGGAAAGAGAACCTACTTTTTTCAGCGTTTCCCTGCAGAAATGGCGCCGCATAATGCTTTTCCCATATTCATCAAGAACATAGAAGATATAATTCACATCCACTTCAGCATCTATGTTTTCTTCCAATTTGTTTTGACTAATACCATGCATAATATCTAGCGCCGCATCATCAGAAATGCCATTTATTGCCATCCACAAAAATATCACCTCTAATTTCTCACTTATCTTCGGCTGAGCAGCAATTTTGAGAAGTCTAACTGTTTCAAATTAGTGCCAACTATATGATCAAAAAGATAAAGAAAGAAATATGAAAAAAGAAGAAGTGCCAACTATTTCAACGGCTAAGGACTCTCTAAACTTCACCTTTAAACTTCATCGGGAAGATGTCTCCGGAGAGCGCTAAAGTTTTCAAGTCATCAACTGTGAGAGCAAAGGCTTCTACTTTTTTGGTACATCGGATAGTTTTGAACGAAGCAGGTTGGTCATCAAAAGCTTTGGTTTTCATTGCCCAATACAAAAGTTGTTCCCCAACAAACATACCTTTCTCAAGAGTTTCAAATTAATGAAATACAGACTACCGTAGGGCAAAAAATAAAAAAAATAAAAACATACCTTTCTCAGGAGTATCGAATGAGGTTGATGGAGCTGCTTCTCCAGCATCCGTAATTGGCAGGTACGCCTGCATAGAGCCTGCTATAATATAGAGCATCGCGTTAAGTGGCTCTCCCACTTCAACAACCTTGGCATTCTCCTCGAACACCTTTGGCTTGAGATAGTCGCAGATCTTTCCCAATGCACGATCATTCATATGTTGAAGCTCCTTTACCTATATATGTATATCAGAAAATCAGATTCTAATCGTTGTCTAAGTTTCAATTTTGATTAATTCCTTATAAGAGATTCAAGATTGATCTTTATCCTTGGTCTATATATATCCATTATCCATCTCAGCATGACAGCATGCGTATGTTCCATTTGAGCGTGTTTTTATTGATTTTTTTTTCCTTCCCATAATACCATCGTCTTCTTATCAAATTGCTGACATCTTCACCAAGAGCTTACCTAAAGCCCAATTTCAACACTTGAGTTCCAAGTTTATCATTGTCTCACCACAACTCCGCTTGAGAGGTATGTTAAGAAACAAAACAATAACGGCTAGAAAAAGAAGAAGAAAAATACTTAAGGCACTCAACAAACTTGAACCTGAACCAGCAAGTAGCCAGCTCACACAGTACCTACGTGGAAGGGATATGGATGAGCCAAGGCTTATTCTTCCTTGTATTCTTTTGTTCTAATTCTATAGACTTCTTGTATAGGAAAATATATACGTTTTTCCTTTGCGTAAATGAATGACAGTGAGAGAGATATTATTCTTGTAATAAATCCTAGCAGCAAACAAACATCTGAATATAGAAAACAAGGGTCAGCAATTAAAAGAGAGATCCAATGGCATCATTTGTAGCGCTTTCAAAAGTTCAATTTTAGTTAAAGTTGTAATATTATATTTGGAGCTTTCAACTTGTAAGGATCTATTTTTATATGACTCTAAAGAGTCTCTATATGGAGATCTAGGAGCATACTTTTGATAATAATAAAAAGAGAGAAAAAGGAACCTACTTTTTTTAGCATTTTCATGAAGAAATGGCGGCGCATAATGTCTTTCCTATGTTGGCCAAGAACAGAGAAGATATAATTCACATCCACTTCAACATGAATGTTTTCTTTCAATTTATCTCGACTAATATGACGCATAGTAACTAGCGCCAGATCATCAGAAATGCCATTTAGTGTCATCCACAAAAATATTGCCTCCAATTTCTCTCGTATCTTCGGGTTTGCAGCAATTTTAAGAATGCCAACTGTTTCAAATTAGTGCCAACTACATTATAACAATAATATAAAATTAATAAAGAAATTTATAAAAAAAGAAGAAGCGCCAACTCTTTCAAGTTTCAACGGCTAAGGATTGTCTAAACTTCACCTTTTGACTTCATCGAGAAGATGTCTTCGGAGCGCACTAAAGTTTTCAAGTCATCAACGGTAAGAGCAAAGGCTTCTACTTTTTTGGAACATCGGACAGTTTTGAATGAAACAGGTTGGTCCTCGAAAGTTTTGGTTTTCGCTACCCAATCCAGAAGTTGTTCTCCAACAAACATACCTTTGTCAAGAGTTTCAAATGAGGTTGAGGGACACGCCTCTCCAGCAACCCTAATTGGCTGGTACGCCTGCATAGAGCCTGCTATAATAATGACCATCGCGTTAAGTGGCTGTCCCGCTTCAACCACCATCTCATTCTCCTTGAAGATCTTTGGCTTGAGATAGGCGCAGATCATTTCCAACGCTTCATTGTTCAAATTTTGAAGTTCCTTTACCTGTGTATATATACCAGAAAATTTAATCCTAATCCTCATACAAATTTCAATTTTGATTAATTCCTTATATAAGATTAAACATTGCTATAATCCAATTCAGTTATTAAGGCCTTTTCTTTCCCTGCATTTATGATAGTTTGTGAGAGAATTTCTATAGATGAAACCATACAAACTAACACCAACTATCTTTTGGTTTTAGTGGTATTTGTCCCTACTTGGTTGTAGGATTTCAAGTTTGATTTGTTGAGAGTGTTTGTCATGGGACCTAGGTAGCTTGGGTTCCTAATTAGTTAGGCTACTCCCCTATTAGAAATATGTCCTTAAAGTCAACTAATTATGTAATAGTTAGAGTTAAGGACATCTTTGATAAAAGACATATTATATTATCAATGGACAAGAAAGATTGTTTTATACATTAAATTATCATATATTATCTTTTAATATGTAGAACAATCATAGTCCAAGGAATACACAAGTGGATATGAGAGCTATGTAATGAGATTGCATACATGGAGACTTCTCATCATCCCTAAATTCTGAATATATTTCTGGTCATAGGAATATTGATTGGGCATCAATATTCTGCAAATACCAGTACACACAGTATTGTCTCTATATGTAGGGAATGTCAAGGTCTCAAGTCATTAAGTGTGAAGACACATCGATATGTGTGTAGGTGCGTGTAGAAGGACAAGTACACTGAACGCGATTCAACACATGAGTTACAGCATGGAAGTCTTTACTCACTGTCAAGCTGGAATTCATAAATTACAATGGTGCAAACTAATCCTTAGACTTAAGGCATCATAGATATTTTGTGGCTATGTTGTTAATCTTTGCTGGGATTATTTTGTTGTCAGCTAGATTATCCTTTAATTTTGCCCCTTACACCTAAGTACCAATTTCAATAATCTAATTACCTCAAAATCAAGAATGGGATCAACTAGGGGAGAGTAGTTGACCCAATTCTAATTCCTTGATTACCCTATCTAAGTTCTACGATTTATGACTTTCTTCATTCCTAATAAGCAAGCAAGACCTAAATAGAGATTCCTGAACATACTTCTAAAAATAATAAAATGAAATAAAAGACAAAAGAAAAAAAGGAACCTACTTTTTTCAGCATCTCCCAGCAAATACTGTTGCGCATAATTCCTCTCCAAAACCCGTCAACAACAGAGATGATATAAATCCCATTCACTTCACCATCTATGTTTTTATCCAATTCCTTTTTTTTAATATTACCCAAATAAAATCTAACAGATACATCTGACATGCCATGCATTTTCATGCACATTTGTATCTCCTTTTCTTTCTCACGTCCTAACTCCTCCTTAGCCAATGATCTTGTGAGTGCTTGTTGCATATATACCTGTTTCATAACAAACAAGAAGCCAGTTCGTCATATTAAATATGCATAAACAAAACATCCGTGTAGTGTTTGTGAGTTTAAACTGTTATTGTATCTCTCAATAGTAAAAAATTTCTATAACAAAAAGAAAGCAGAAACATAGCATCACAGATAAACGAATAAAACAATATATTATAAAAAAAGATAAATAGTCATTCACTGAAGAGTAAAACAATATATGTAATTGAATACATACTATGGACAAAATTTGAAAAATACAGTCAAGCTCGAGGCACTAATGTGAAATGTACTAGAGTTGAATTATTTTGCGTACAAACTCTTCAAAACTAGCATTTTTGTCTAGGTAAATAATTCAGGGTTAAATACATTTTGAGTAATGCTATTTAGACACACAACATTGACCACTTTAGCTGACCACCTTATGTACCAATTGATGTGTCATGTCAAATCAATTAATGAATGTCGCCATGTCAATTAAAAAACCCTAGCGTTCCTAGTAAGTGGCCTCATGGCAACATTCATTAATTGACATGGCATGCACATCAGTTGCCACACAGGGCCAGCCCTTGGCCAGGGCAACCAGGGCCACCGCCCGGGGCCCACGATTGAGAAGGGCACAAAAAATTTTATATTAGCTTATATATATGTATATGATCAGACAAAAAAATATATATGTATATGCAAAACATAATTAAAAGTGCTCATAAAAAAATAAAATAACTAAAAGTAATGGGTATGGCATTGGAGTGGCATGCATAAGAATTCTCTCTCTTTCTCTCCCTCTCTCCCACCCCAAGCACGCATCTCCTCCCTGGGTTTCTCTAAACAAGGATTTGCTTATCAGGCTTTTGGGTTTTTGTCTCAAATTGTGAGGAGGGCTATTTCAATCGATTCTCATACTTGCAAATTGCAATACACTAGTTAATGAGTTTTGTCAAATTGGGTCGGTAATTATGTAGAATGGTTTATGGATAATTTGGTTTGATGGGGATTAGGTGTCTTGAGAGCTAGCTGGGGAGGTGGGTGCTGTTAGGCTTGTGCTAGATGGTGGTTGCTAGATGGCTGGTGGTGTTTGGGTGGTGGCTTGTTGGGTGCGGCCTGGGAAGGAAGTGATGAAGTTTTTAATTTTTTTTAATATTTTAAAATAAGTTTTTTAAATTGTTAACATCCCGGCTGGATTAACACTTCAGATAAGTTTAGTTTCTAGCTTTTTTTTAAGATGAGTTACATAAGTTCTTATAAGTCATTTTACAAAAAGATAAACTTGTCTTTAAAATTTTAAAGATATGATAGATGGAAAAATAGCAACACTCAATTAATTATTTGATAAAAAAAAAATTTATGAATAAGGGCACACTCTTAGAGTTTTGCCCTGGGCCTTCAATCACCCAGGGCCGGCCCTGTTGCCACATAAGGTGGTCAACTAAGGTAGTCAATGTTGTGTGTCTAAATAGCATTACTCATACATTTTTTGTCATTGCGTCTATTCCAAAAATCTAAATTAATATCTGAGTTTTTAATTTCATTAATTTGGTTATTGAGTTGGCAAACGTTAACATTATAAGCCACTTTGTTAGTTTTATGTTAAAAATTATTAAAATATTCATTAAAATAAAAAATGAAGTTGGGTCAGTCATCACCCTAAGGCCTTCTCCAATCCATGAGGGGCTAAATCCAAATTTTCCCCCTCCAAAAAGGTAACTATTTGGGTTTTGCCCGGACTCAAATCGTTTTTTGCTAAATTCAAATTTTCCCCTTCTAAAAAGTAATTATTTGGATTTTGACTGGACTCAAATCGTTTTTTCTCCCAACCCTCCAGACTCAAATTTTAAGTCCGCAACTTTATTAAATTGTTTAAGAATGGTTTAAGTCTAATTTTTATTTATTTATAACTTTTTTTCATTTAATCTTTTTAAATAACTTCATAATTTAATTTTTTTGAACAATTTGACCTAAAAAAATTGAAATTCTACAAATATAATGTTTTGGTAGATTATTTGAGAAATGAGTGGGTATTTATAGAGTTTGGGGTAAGTTTTGGGGTTGGATCTAATTTAGATTAAGTTAAAATATTATTTTGATCTTTGGATTTAAATTTCAACTGTTGAATCCCTTTTTTTATCGTTAAAATAGCTTTGATTTAATATATATCGTTGATTTAAGTTAATATTATAATTTAAAAAAATAAACAAATAAACAAATAACATCACTACAAGACAAAGGCAACATCTTCCACATGGGCTATTGGCGGGCCACAGTGATGAAAGCTTTCACATGGGCTGTTGATGCAGCAGGTGAGCTCCACAAATTTTTTTTAGATCCAGGCAATACTTGGACTGCTATTTGGGTCCAAGTTTGGGTTTTCCTAAATTTTGGCCCCTTCATTTTCTTGAGTTGGGAGAGATTTTGGGCAATAATTTGGGATTTTTTGGGTTTGGCCTCATGGGTTGAAGATGGTCTGACTACCGAACCTCGTCCAAAAAAAACCACATTTTTCCTTTCCCATAATTTTATTGTCTCTGTTGTTTATGCATGGATTTATTTTTCTTGGTGTTTGAGATTTTGGTTTTGGTGTCTATGGATTTCAAGTGGTGACTGGGTGTGGGGTTTCTGGTTTCTTTATTCGGATAGCTGCGGCTGGAAGCAGATCGGATTGGTGGTGAGTTGGGTGTGTATTTGTGGTGGCGGGTATGGCTAGGGGCGAAGGGGGCAGGTGAGGTGGGACTGTTCTCAAAGTTGTGGGGTGTGCGATCAGATTTGGACGTGGAGGAGGATAAATCAGGGTGGCGATATGCGTAGGAAATGGTGGCCACGGGTTGGGGGTGGCAGTTGGCGATGGGGGAAGGGTTGGGTTGTGGTGGGAGGGGGGGTGGTGGGAGGAGTGGGGCTGGGGGGTATCAAGTTCTGGTTTTGGGGGCTGTTTTTTTTTTTCTCGTAATAATCTTATTTTATTATTAAAATTTAACATAGGTTTATGTATATTTATTAAATTTAAACTAACTAATTAATATTTCAATTTTTTCATAAATAAAATAATGAAAGAAAAGATTAAGATGGTACATTTGACAAGTCAGTGACCAAATTGATGAAAATCCTTTCACACGAATAACTGAATAATAATTTAAAAAATTTATTAATAGCAAGAGATTCATCATGATTTCTAATGAAATATTTCAGTCTTTTCCACAAAAAAAGAAGATAATCATCATGATTCAACACCAGCGTACCTGTAGGTTTCCAAGGAGATATAAAAATAATAGCAGGCCAATCAAAGAAACGATAATTGCAAAGCAGTTTTCCCACACATAGCTACTTGTTTGCATATTCGTACCAAAGTTACTGCAAGAACCAATTAAGTATTTAACATATAGAATATGTTTTGATATGAAATATTTAGGATATATAGAGAGTTTTAATTAACTGATTCCTCAAATAAGCTTCCACTCTTGTGAGACCCATTTCATATTGTATCTGCATGATTCAAACCCTTTATTTTTTGGATATTTCTTCAAAGATTATCCTTACAAAAAAATTACTTGAATCAGAATCCATTTTACCACTCAATAAAATGGTTGTCATTTTAATATTTTTTTTGAAGTACCATATTTGTCAATGATGATTTATGAATCAAGATGTGAAAAATAAATAATTTGGATTGTTAAAATAAAATTTGTAGTGGACCCAACAAGCTGTCTTTCAGACAAAGTGTCTCTTGTGCGCTATCCATGTAACCACAAATAGGAAAATAAAGGTGCCAATGAGAAGAAAACTACACAACTATTTTCTCAACTCTCTCTTTTCTTACTAGAGAAATTTTAGGGATTTCGAAAATAAATCATGTTCCATAAATTCCGGATTTTTGAAATGCTAGGAATTAGGGATTATTTGAGGAAAAAAAAAATGCTTCTAACCAAAATGACATATATATGGTTTTGTAAATAAATGATAATACCTAAACCACTTTTATCCTACAGAGCATCCATTTTAAAAGTTCTGTTTTAGTTAGAAGTGGAAAAGCATATGAAATTCGTCTAGCATACCTTAGATTTCTGACGCCCCACCATATGCAGTAGAAGAACTTGGTTGGAAAATGCATTGATCTTGTGGTTCCATATTGAATGGCATCAAGAAATATTCCAAAATTAAATACGGTAGCATTTGGTGGATTTGACGGGCATAACTCATTTAGGAAGGTGATATTTCGTGAAGAAGTACTGCCACTGCAATAATCAGTAGCTCCACAACTTATAGCATTTTTACAGGATTGATGCAAGCATGATATCTCTCTTTGAATAGAAAAGAAATACCAAAAACCTCCAAATACCTAATAACAAAATGTTTATTTATGATTAGATCATCTTCAAAAAAGTTAGTCAAGTTTTGGTTAAATTTAACTTAGCTATTTATTTAATTCAAAAGAAAACTTAGGGCTCGTTTGAGAATGATTATATGAAGAAGCAAGTGGAAAGAAGTGGCAGAGCCACTCCTAGGCCTGAAGTGGCACTAGGCCCCCCAAATTTTGATCTCTCCTCTATTATATTATATATAACATATAGAATTTGTAATAAACAAGTTATAATTTAAGTTAACATTCCCTCTAAAACAAATTAGACATGACTAAATTAGAAATATTTAGCTCTAAACATGTAACTATGCTTAGGTGTTTCATATACTTGTATTTTCTACTTCGATCCCTCCAACTTTACGATTCTAGCTCCGCCCTTGGTGGAAGGTGTTTTTCCCTATAAATGATTATGGTCCTAAACGAGCCCTTAGACAAGTAGTAGTTACAAAACTAAAGATAAGACATAAAATTGTGATTTATGAGTTATGGCAATGAAGATAGAACTTACATGACTAGCAAGGACGTAGAAGAAAAAATTGAATGCAGCTTGAACCCGTGGTTTGGTTTTGTACTTGAGATAATCACTGAATCTGTAGATTAGGAAAACCCTGGACAGATAATGCATAACAAGGAACACGTTCACGATGGTAACTGTTTGGCTGAAATGTCCTCCTGACTTGAAAAAGAAAACTACTATTGCCAACTGGGAAAAAAAACAGCTGGTTAGAGACCAGAGTCAATAAGCAAAATCTAACTATGTGCATAAGACAAGGTTGACCTAAATATAAACCTTGACTGATTTTCCTATCATCGTAATAGCTATTGTGGGCAAATAAGGATATGATAAAAATAAACCTTGACTAAATGCCACACATAAGTAGGACTCATTATTAGTACTTCTACCTAATTCGATGGATTTTTCAAGAATATGATAAAAATTTCAAGTACAACTTTGCAGACGAAGGTAAAACAACATCTTATAAGTGGTCTAGTTTGGTTCCGCTTAAACCTCAAACTACATACCAAATTCATGTAGCGACACAATTTAGATTGATTTGATTTAGGTCTCAAACTAGTAGCACAAACGAATCAAACCAATCCATTTGGTGACCAGCTTGATTCGGAAATTTTCCTTCATAAACAATTAAACAAATATTCTATATTATCTCACATATATCAAGGTGGCATTCATATTATAAAGTAGGAAAAAAGGGTTTTGCATAGTGATTTATTTTTATTTTTAATATAAGCGATAGTCTAAACAAGAAAAGAGGGAGTTTCTCGCACACTACTATGGAGATTCGAATCTAAAACCACTAGTCTACAAGTCAAGCCCTTTTTCACTGGACTAGATCTGTTGGCTGTCTTTTGAAACTAAAGAGCATTAGACACACATGCGTCTCTCTCTCTCTCTCTCTCTCTCTCTCTCTCTCTCTCTGTATTTTCAGTCTCTCTGTCTCCCTCTATATCCCTTCTTCTCCCCTTCTTTTTCTCTCAGTCTTCCTTTTTTATGGCTCTCCAGATAGCACGAGATCTGTCTTCGCCAGCAAGCTCCAGCTTCAAGGTATTCACTGCTCTCTCTCACGATGGCATCACCTGAAACCGACGACCTGTAACTGAAACAGGCAGAAACTAAAACAGTCGGCAACCAACCGTAGGCAGTTCGGCGGCGGTTTCGTTTTGGCCATATTGACAACCTCTCGTTTGTACTCAATTTTGTCGTTTCGATTCGATTACCGAACGGAAACCACCCCTATTCTCGAGTATTTTCAGGGTAAAAGTAAATAAAGCCGTTGTGCACTAAGCCGATATCACCTCCTAAACTCTTTAACACTCCATCGAACAATGACAATAACATTATGTACGAGGTGGGAATTGTTGTGAATTAGAAACCAATTCACTCCCCTTTAGACCTTGTTGTTGATGGACTTTGGACAAGACTCAAAGATGGATGAGTCTTACACACACACAGAGAAAATAACCAAGCACAAATGACACAAGTGTTTATAGAGGTTCAGCAAATTTTGCCTACATCCTCTTGGTGATCCCCTTGAGAAATTTCATTAATGAAGATAGGTTACAACTTTGGTTTACAACTGAAAACCCCCTTAGAACACTGCCCTCACAATCTGTTTCTCTCACACCCTTGCTCAACCCCTTGATACAATTGAGAACTCTCTCTTCTACTTGACTCACTAGTTCCAGCTACTTTGCCTCTCACTTTACTGTCTTGCTTCCTCCTCTCTCAAATACACAACCCCTTGGACTTGAGAAAAGCCTCATCACATCTTCCCACGTTCTGCCCATGTTTTACTGAAATATATCACACCTTGGGCAGGCAAAGGGCTAGATAATGACAGCTACAAGTTCAGCTACCCTATAAAGGACCATAGGGTAGGAACACCTTGAAACAAGCCAACATCTTTCCTTAATTTGCTCTCCTTGCTTCCCAGCAACTTGCCACCTTTCATTTAAGTCAGAAGTGACTTAAAATATCCTTGCAAGTGGGTAGAAAACGATAGCACACTAAAGAAACTGTTGAGAAACAGTGAAGATTCGAAACAGCACGTGTTGGGCGACCGGTCGCAGGTCATTTGCGACCGGTTGCTTTTGCACAGAGTCTCCAGACTTCGAATTGTCTTCCTGCGACCGGTGGGCGACCGGTCGCTTGCTACTTGCGACCGGTCACAAATAGCTGGCGACCGGTCGCTCGTCGACTTAGCTCCAGACTTCGAATCTGTGTAGAAACGACCGGTCGCAAATGTCCTGCAACCGGTCGCTGGTCCAAAATTTAGTATCCTTTATGCGAGCCAATTTTCCAACAGGAATAACGGTACGTTGTATGTATTCTATGTGCTAAGTTTTTCACCTTTATTGTAGGTATGCTATATGTTATATGTGTACCTAATAAAGGAGAATACGATTTATGAGTTTTATGCATGTGTTGGTATATTAATTTTTGTCTTCCTATTGGTTTTCTTCACTGCATACTAATAAAGGAGAACACGATTTGTGAGTTTTAAAATCAATTTTCTGCTCATGCATTTTTTTCATTTACACACGTGATCTTCATTTTGACCTTTTGTTTAGGTAGATTATGTGTATCTTATAATATTAATACCTACCTCATCAGCAAATTACCTACACCTCTCAGCACACCCATTCAAGGGTCATATAGCCGTTGGTAACAAGATTGCTCAATACACCCAGATAGCTCCAACAGTTGATGTGGCATGGACAGCTTGCAATGAACATGGATATTATGCTTTAGGAATATTCTTTTATTTTCTTCGATACCTCTCTAGAACCTTTGTGTAAAAATCCTAGTATATATTTATACTCGCTCATGTAATTATATCTCTTGGTTATCTCTTCCTTCCTCTCAGAAGTTTGAAACTTTCCCTTTCATCTTATGTGTATTATACATATAGGGAGCTGATTTTCCCACTCCCTTTTTCTCCACTTACACTCCCTTTTGTTTTTTAATACTTTTTAATTAATTTTGCTATTTTTTGTTCTACCTCTTTTCTATTTTATCCTTGATGACGTGGCAAGTGAGCACTTTGGAGAGATGCTATGTGTGAAAAATAATAATAAAGAATTCCTTAAAAATAATTTTTTTAAACCAAAAAAATATATCCCAAACCCACCCACCCTCTGGTTATCTTCTCTCCTACACACCCACCCTTCCGTCTTCTCTCTCCCCATCTATGTTTCCCCTCTTTCTTCGACCAAAAAAACCTTTCCGAAGGACCTTTTTTATTTCCTTCCTCACTTTTTGTTAGCTTCTCCTCCAGAAACATAACCAAAAGAAGTAAAAGGAATCCAATAACATCAATCATCTATATACTGGTAGCTATAACTAAGATCTTTATACCTTTTCTATCCCTCTTTTTCTCTCTTTCCCCCTCTTTCTTCAACCACCAAATCCAGATCCGGGGTTTTTTTAAAAAGAGTTTTGGGGTTTGAGTGTGGCTTGGCTATCGGGCGTTTGGGGCTGTAAGGTCGTTTGTGGTTATGGGTGCGTTGGGGCAGCGATGGCTATCGGTGGGTGGGTGGCTGTGTGGGGTTGGGTTGAGATGGGAGGAGGAGTAGGGGGTTGACGAAGAGAGGGGGAGAGAGAGAGGGTGTGTAAGTGGAGAAAATGGGAGTGGGAAAATCAGCTCCCATATATATATATTTTTTAAATTTGGTGTATATGTTTTTAATGTTTTTAATAGCTGCATTTACCGGAAAAAAAAAATTATAGCCATAAATGTTCAAAAGTTAAATTCAAAATTTAAGAGTAATAATGCCTTAAATCAAGGGCAAAATAATAGTCGTAAACTATTAAATGGAAATTGGGTCTCCATTGAATAAGTGTAATACAAGGGTTTTTTTAAAAACATTTTTAGCATGAAATAGGTATATCTCCTAATTAAAAGCTTATTTAGGAACTCAAACGTTTGCATGTATCAAAATAAAAACTCAAACGTTTGCATTATTTAAGCAACAAAAGTTGAGATTTCAATCTCTTACCTGTGGGATGGGAAGGATAAGGAAAGCGCCAATTAAGCTCATCGTGAAGCTGACGAAAAGTATTCGAAAAAAGTAGAATACATCACATGTTCTTATTATCGATGACTGGAACGTAAACACATGATTTATAGTATGCAGTGCGAAAGCGGCATCAGGAAGTGCTCGCAACCAAAGAGCTGCAGTCTTCAACTTTTTATCTATTCCAAGGCACTTGTTCTCCTCATCGATGACTGGAATGTAAAAGAACAAAGGATCTATTGACACTGCAATACATGATATTATAAATGCATATTTCCTTGTTAATGAAGAGAAGAAGATGCAACAAAGAATTCCCTTCTCTTCCCTTGCACGATGGTAGTAAGAGTCGCCGAAATCAAAATACCATCTGATAAGAAACGATGTCAGAAGGGAAAAGAAAAACGAATCATATGTACGGACGAACATATTCTGAAATTTAATTTTTATTTATTTATATAATAGAATAGATCTATTAATATGAGAGGCAATTACAAAATTACATAGGAAGAACACTACCCAAGAGGAGGGTTCTTGCAAACAAGAAAACGTTTTTTTGGGGGGGAGGCCCGATAAGCCGAAAGGAGATGATTCCAGGGCGTTCCCCTAGAATCAAAGAAGTTATTAGCGATGGATTCAAGGGGTTTAGGGTTTAGGAGAGGAAGGAGAGGAAGAAGAGGTTTATGGAATAAGGGGAAAAGTTGCATTATTGATTTGACACGAGTTCACTATACCCCAAAGGTAACATGGAGTATTGTTTTAGAGAATGACCGAATTGCATTGCAATCGCAACTGACTAGGTTCTCCAATGAATTCTATTTGGCTTGGGTAGTCATGACATTGTGCTAGGTGCCAACAATAAGGAGAATTGTATGGAGGAATACAGTTCATATTCGATTTAGAAGAAATCGGACTTACCCATTGCCTCACTAATTAGAACTTATAAGATCCCACACTGAAAGGAGTGGATTGAGAATTAGACAAGAGAAAGAGATTTTGTGGCTTGGTCAAAGTCAAAGGTCAAACGTTAACCCGACACTTGACATAGTCAACAAGGGTTGACTGGGACCAATACTTGTAAGACAAGTTAGTGACTAGATTAATTAAGTAATTAAACAAATTAAACAAATTAAAATAGTTTAATTTAATCAATTAAAGTTGTTGAACATTAATTGGATCCCACATGACTTAAGGAATAAATAATTGGACCATAAGACTTTAGATACATGTGACACATTAAAGTATAAATGTGTAGGACCAAGAAGGCCCAAAATTAGGCCACAAAGTGTGAGGTGCGGTACACATGTGGACCACATGTGTCACAAATGTGGGTCTATAATTAGAAGCCATGGCACCATTTCATTTTTGGGTTTCAGGTTGGAAATTTTAGAAGAGAGCAAATATCACTCTTAGCATGTTAAAGGGATTGAGTTCATGGAATTATCGTATATGCATAATTTAATTTATTTACTTTGATTAACTATAATAACTGACCTTAAGGGGTTTGACGATACCTTATTGAGCATTAGAATGCTCATACCCAAATTAAAACAATACCATCAATGTTCTTTTTTCTAAAAATCAAAATGAAAGGATAATAATGATATTTCACACATGGTTCAAATTTAAAAAAAATATTACAGCTTACTCTTTTTTAGTTTTTTTTTTTCTTCAATTTATAGGTTTTAGGATTTATATATAAATTCAATATAAGAAATGAGTTTTATTATAAATTTCTTTAAATTAATTAACATATATAAGAAAACAATAATGAATAATGTGAACCAATAAACCTAAATCATAATAAAAAGACTAGCAAGCTAAGTACTAGCTCGAAATAAATGTAACTAGTATCTGGCTACACTATAAGGGTGGTCATCTGGAAGGCCCAAAAGGTACGTATATATATACATATACTAACCTCACGACTTTGGGCACAAATGCAAGAACGTCCACAATAATCTGAACGAGTTGAACATGTATTTTGGGCACAAATACATATACTAACCTGAAATATAAACAACTGCAGGTTAGTTGTCCTTTTGATTTCTTGTATTTACTTACTTCAATATAGGCATAAATTAATTAACATATATAAGAAAACAATAATGAATAATAAGAACCAATAAACCTTTCGACCAAAAGTTATATGTATATACTAACCACATGATATCGGCCACACGTGCCCGAACATGAATAATAATCTCAGCGATAGTCCTGAAATATAAACAATTGCATTAGTAAGTGGGTTTCCTACTTATTTCTTCAACAAAAGTCATCTTAAAATAACTATTTCTTATTACCCTTTTTGGTTTGGGAGATTCACTATTATACCCAATATAGGAGTCCAAATTATAATTAAAAAAACCATGTATGAAATGGACTTTAGAAACCCATTTACAACATAATAAAAAGGATTTTAACTTCTTTTAAATTACAAAACTGCCATTAATTTCTTAAAACAAACTCAACCCCAAAACCTCATAAAAAAAGCCCAAAACACTAAATATGGGCATTAAAGTAATTTAATAATCAAAATTAAATTCAATAGTGTCAGCTATCATTTTTTGGGTTTGTTTATAGAAATTAAATAGTGTAGGGTTTATTTATAGTTTTAGTGCTAAGAATGGGTATATGATCAAATATCTCTTTTGGTTTTCATATAAACCAACCTGAACTAATCAGGAAATAAAAGACAAATGCAAATACAAAACAATATATCACAAGATAATAATTCTTGATGTAACTAATGGTGATCTCATTTGATAGTTCAATTGAATCCAACAAATCAAATACAATTAAAACTTAGGATCCGGTTTAATACTTCGGGTTTTTATTTATTTATTTATAACATAATGTGTACAAGAGAGTAGCTTGAGATTTTTTTTAGGGGTCTTTAAATCCAAGCCCAAAAGGTTAGATTTGACCCATGTCTTTTCTTTTTCTGATCTAGACCCATTAGGATTTAGATCTCACTTTTTATGCCCATTTGTCCTTTGAAATAAATATAGTAAGAAACTCAAAACTCTGATTTTATGCATTTTTCAAATTTCGGCTTTATTGCCAAAATTTGAAAATTAAAGAGGAAAACTCGACTAGGCTTGTCCTGTTCTGCAGATTTCCCGCACAGTGAAACCAATCCAGTGTTTAGTAAGGACCAGTAACGAAAACAAACACACATACATATACAAACCCAAACCCATGAATGGAGGAATTCGTACATGTACCTTGGTCACCTTGAGAGTTTTATTAAAATGACGGGAGAACACATCTAATATTATCTTGGTTGTAAGCTTAAAATGCTACTTTTAATTACATAATGCAACAAATTTTGATTCTTATTTATTAATGGATAAACTAAAAGAGAAAATGGAAAAGGAAAAAGAAAAGGTATTTCGTCGCTTTCATTTTTAAGAATTTTCAAACACTAGAATAAAAGTTTGAGATATTTATTCAAAAATCCATTTTAGCATGACAAATTATACAAAAAACTCATATAGGGGATACTTGAAGAGAAAAACTCAAAACTACCACTTGTCAATTTCTAATTTGTTACAAGTGGCAATTTTGAGTTTTTCTCTCCAAATAGACCCCATATATATTATAATATGTCATGTTAAAATGAGCATATCTGTAGAAAGCCCTAAAACTTTTTCATTTTCATGTGCTTGCAATAGGCAATACAATTTCATTTTGAAAGAACCTATTATGCGAACCAAACGAGCGTAGTGCTACAGCCTACGTGGCTTCCCCCATATTCGCGAATAAAGCTGTAATATATATATGCATTAGAAAAACAAATGAAGACTTACCTGGAAGGGATGGTTACCCCTCCCTCTTCCAGGGATGGCTCCATGGAAACAGAGGATGTGTGTGAAGCGAAGAAGACCCAACGAAAAAAATCTGGAGAGAAAAATTGATTTTTATATGTCTGTATATGAATGAACAATCGCATAACTGCCTTTTATACAGGACAATAACAAAACTTGATGAGCTGGACAGTTAACTATAGTCCAGAGAACAGGTCGGTGATGCTATATTATCATGGATGTGGGGTTTGAGTGGATTAGCTTTAAAGTTTATTTTGAGCTGTTAAAAGATAAAAAAGTAAAGGTCCATCCTAGGAAGACCAACTTTAGTGTACCAACTCTCTACTAGAGGTGGAGCCCACCAATATAATGGGTTTCATGCTCTATTAGAGAGTTGGTACACAAGTTGGTATCTAAAGTTGGTCTCCCTAGTATTTTCCAAAAGTAAATGAAGCAACTATTGTACCTTTTGGATATTGAGTAGTAACTTCTGAAAGGTGTTAAACTTCGATCACTTCTGAAATATCGGGTCTCAAAATACATAAATTTTGATATTGGTGAAGATTCAATAAAGAACTATGAAAATTGTTATACAAATATGTAAATTTTTAACGAAACTTTGAGACATGCTTATTTAACCAGTAATATACTAATTCAACAAAATAAATTGATAAAACTTAATGACATGGTGGACTCATATGATTGAGATTACATATCATTTTTGCACTCATAAACTATGTTACTTACAAAATATGCTCACTAATTCATAAGATTTGATTGTATACACACCAATTTCATTTAAGTTTAGTTATTTTTTTTTAAATGAAAATGAACAACCTTTGTAAGATACGCTAAATTACAAGCGATAATCACTACTAGAAAATTAACAATTGAATTAATAAATAATTGATTTGCGTGGTCTTTGTTTATTAATTCAATTGTTAATTTTCTAGTAATTGTTGACGAAAGGTTTTTGCGTGGTCTTTGTTTATATATATTATATAGGCACCTTCTTTGTGTCGTGTGCGATCTTCCAGCTCGGCGTTCACACTTATCCATCGAGTCCAACCAACATTAATTTTTTGCTTGTTGCTAATTGACTATACTTAAGCCCAAACGTGGTTAATCAGCAATTGAATATATTAATTTTTTGCTAGTTGCTAATTGACTATACTAATCTAATTTTTTTTTGGTCAAATCTGAACTTTATTATTCTATCTAAATACACATGACGTTACCCATAATTGAGTTAATTACACACGGTTAGGTGGTTAGGTGTATTATATATCGTATGTTGCTAATTTACCATAATTAAGCCCAAAGGAGGTTAATCTTTTGCTTGTTTTTTTTTTTTTTTGGTCAAGAATCTTTTGCTTGTTAGTATCTTCTTGTACACTTGTAGCTCTGGGGTCACCTTTTTTTATTCTTTTGAAAAGGAATTCTGTTTTTTTTTCTTTTCTTTTTCTGGCCTGTGAAGAAAATTACAATACAATTTATCCCTATTTAAAGAACCGGAGAAGAGTTATGGAAAGATTTTTATGCAATAAATCAACTTTGGATTTCTTAATAATTTGTTAACTGTAACATCCCGACCCAAAAATGTGACTGTTCTTAAATTTATTTAAATATGAATTTAGAATTTTGCCCTCGAAACACTTTTTAATCCAGAAGGATTTTGGGGCAGTGAGTGGTATTTTTATGTAGATCGTACCGAGATGAGTCCGTAGACACGTAGTGGGCTCGAATCGAAGTTATAACGAAAAAGATACGATTAAAATAGACTTAGTGGCAAAATCGTAAACCCTCTTCCGGTTATCAAATAGACTTAGTGGCAAAATCGTAAACCCTCTTCCAGTTATCAAATAGACTTAGTGGCAAAATCGTAAACCGTAAACCGTAAACCCTCACAGCAGTAGTTCTCCAAGCCGTCACCGCTGCCACACGCAGCCATTCTTAGCTGCACCAGTCCCAAAAAGACCGCCTCACTTCCCTCTTCCAGTCCCAGCCTATCCCATCTTCGATCCACCATCGTGGTCGTCGGAAACCGCCACGAAATAGGCTGATTTTGATAGATTTTCTCAAGCTTCGTTCGAACAATTTCGGGCACCAAATCTTGCGACCCATGTATGTTTTCTCATCTTCTCGAGGTATTCTAGCTGCTGGTTGTGATATTTAGGAGAAATTTCTATGTTTTGGGAGTTAAATAAGCGATACGAGTTTGGCCGATTTTCGGCCTGCGATTTCGGCCACTTCCGTCAACTTTTTGGGGTAGGTCCAAGAAAAAAAGTTGCTCCACTCTATGTGGTGATCATGTAGGTATAAGTCTTGATCGGCGGTTTGGAGATTTTCTGATCGCTGGAATCGCTTTGGACACCCTCGTGCTGCCGGTGTGTGGGCCACTTTTTGGCTGGTCCTTGAGTCCTAAAATAATCCTCATGTCGCCCAACTCCTGTTACGGATAAATCCATAGGGTATTAGGGTGTTTATAAGGGGTTTTGTAATTCTTTCTTGATTGTGGGTTGCCATATCGTTTTTCGGAGGGAGGGTTTGGGGGGCTTGAAGATTTTAGGGAACCTGGCTTCAACATATCACTCGAGATTTCTGTGGTGGGTTTCTTGTTTAGTTTGTTGACCTTTTCTCGCTTTCATTGTGCTCTTTATTCTTACTTAATATTATTCGCAACTGGGTTTATGGAGGCCAAAACCCAAACATAGTAGGAGTGCAAAGAAGTCATCATCACATACAAATTGCCACCGAATGGTCAAAATCACCAAGACCGTCCGCTACGTGGTTTTTACTTTTTTAATTTCCTATTTTTCCAATTGTTATTTTTTTTAATAATAATAGAATCCAATACTAATTATTTCTCCTCATCAACTGAGAAGAGCTCTTCTAGGTTGTATGGCACTACAGACGAAGGGGGCCCATTCCAGAGAGCCTTTGCAAGCTGCTCATGGATCCTCTCAGTGGGATGAGAAAAACACTGAGTATAGTTGGGCGGCTATACTAATTTTTATAATAAAAACCGTACGGCTATACTATTTTTAATATTAAAAAAAACCCGCGTATAGCCTCTATTTATAGAAATAAATAAATTAATTAATTAAAAAGGACCTGCCTGGTGGTTAGCGCCAAAAAATAGTATAGCCGCGCGGATATACTCTTGATTAAAAAAGATCTTGAGTATAGCCACGCGGATAAACTCTTTTTATTAAAAAAGATCCTAAGTATAATTTTTTTAAAAAGGACCACTGCCTGGCGCCTAGAACCACGAGTCAAAAATAGTATATCCGAGCGGCTATACTAATTTTATAATAAAAACCGTAGCACAGCCGGGCGGCTATACTATTTTTATTTTTTTTTAAACCCCGAGTATCGCCGTGCGGCTATACTATTTAAAAAAAAAAAAAGAGGATCAGCTTGGCGCCCAGCGCCCGCTTTGCCACGTGTCAAAAACAGTATAGCCGCTCGGCAATACTATTTTTTATAATAACACCAATAGTAGAGCCGCGCGTCTATACTATTTTTATTTTTGAAAAACCCCATGTATAGCCGCGCGGCTATACTATTTATTTATAAAAAAAATGAGGATCCACCTCTCAAACACCTCATGGGGGAGGATCGACTGGCAATGCTTGGCCTCTAGCAGCCCGATGTGCAATCCAGATTGGGGCACCAGATGCTTCTGATGTTCTCTTCAAGCTTGAAGCCCACATAGTGGCGAAACTAGAATTTTTTATAGAGGGGGCACTTCATATATTGAAATTTATTTTTCTTTATGGTGACATTTTAATTAATTTTTTACTTGATACAAATTCATAAATTTAATTACTATATTGTATTACTTTACATATCACATTAACTATTTACTCACCATTGATACCAGCAAAAGATATTGCATGTACTAAGTTAAATATACACACTAACAAAATTCAAATGGTAGTTTATTACTACAATCAAAGTTAAAATAAAATAAAAAGAGAGTATGGGTAGTAATAATAGTGGAAAAGGGAGAGAAGAAAAACATGAAAGGCACTTTGAAGTTTGATAAAAGATGTGTGATTCTGTTAAGAAACCCAACGTCTCAAGAACATTGAGAGGGGCATAGGACCCCCCTGGGCCTTAGATCCCTTTGCCCCTACCTGGAATGACGTCGAAATTCATGGCTGCCCTTATGTCTCCACCGAAAGAGAAGATAAAGCCAAATCATACATCAATTGAATTTGTACTTGCATGCCATGACAATATATTGCAAAATCACCCTCATACATCAAAATGGTGATTTTGCAATATATTTGCCAACAAAAACAAGAATTATAGTTAGTAAGAGGTCGTAGTATTCTTCATGTAAAGTGTTTGTTTGAAAAGTGAAGCAATTACTAAAACCACTCCAACTCATCATGTCATTCGCTACGACAAAAAAATGTGTGCAGTAACATAATTTAATAGCACTCGAGAGAACGAGATAGATCAAAGGCAAACATTCCCACGAAAAATATAAATTCAAAAATTGAACTCTTAGATTGATTTACTACGAAATTTCTCTCTCTTCAATATTTGCTTTCAATCTGTTGAAACTAGCCAATTAATAACTATAAAGTATAAACTAATGGAAGTAGGCCACAAAATTTCAAAATTGCTAGAGTACCCATCTTTGCAAACTCTCAAACTAGAAAGCTTATGTTTTGCTTCCAGCTCAAAATAATATATTTAAAATATTTAAAGGGTATAGCTGCGCGGCTATACTCCTTTTTTTATTTTATAATAATTCGTATAGCCGCTTGGCTATACTCGTTTTTCATTTTTTTCTTTTAAATAAAGAAGTTATTAGTCACAATGAATATATAAGGGTCAGAAAACAAAGAGGTGGGCACGGTCTGGATTGGATCTGTTTCACCTCAAAACTACGAGTATCAATTTTTTAGTGTTATAAACTAATGGTTGTGCTAGCGGTTTGGATTGGACAGTTTTTGGTATTATGTTGACCAATTTAAGAAGTATTCTGTTGTCAAAATTTAAAAAAAAAATACAAGCGATAATTTAAACTATAAAAAGAGGATGTTTTCTCAAACACACTACCAAGATGTCATAAAATTTAAACCACCATTAATTTGCAAATTAAAAAGAATATCTCGTTGACTAGGTTGTCAATTTGTAGTTGAGCTGAGTGTCATTTGTTTCCACATGTCCTGTTGAGGGCATCTTTGGCAGTGACAAGTGTTCCATAATTATAGCCCCCACGTCCCAAATGATCTAGAAACGAGCAATTTTTTATATACTTTTTTATTACAAGAAATAAGCAAATTCATTCCTTTGGATGTGTTTTCCCCTTTTACCAGCCACTTTAGTCGCGTGATCTAGTAAGTGCTCAAAGCTTGCCACGACTTCACCTAATGCATGCAAATTATATCCCTTCTCCTGCCACATGTCATTGCATAACGGGATTTAAAAGTCACCACCCCAACCTTGGATAAAAAAATCAATTGAATATCAGAAACACAAACAAAACTTTTTCTTCTTCAACTGCTATAAATATGCCTCCATCAACTTCATTGGTCCAAAATATCATTCACAAAATCTCTCCCTCGAACCAATTTGGAGTTCTAAATAGCAATGGAATGGTCTCCTCAAGATGCCTTGAAAGCTTACTTACACACTCTTCATCTGGTAATTTTCTATACACATTAAATATACATTGGTGGTGTGGAATTATTTTTCCAAATATATAATCCAATTTTGTAATTTTCTCCTTTATGTATCTTGCTAATTGATTCACTTAAATTAATGCAGTGTAAGGTTGACAAAGATGAAGACTTGAGCCTTGGAAATCACACAAACACTACCAGTATTATCGTAGAGCCAAAATGCATGGAATTTATATCAGCTTTGGCAGCTGGAAAGCGAGCAAGATTAATCCTGCAAATCACCTCTCAAGGCATAACGCCGATGACAGTTTCACTGGCTGTGGCTGCAAAGCAAAGCGGAGGCCGGCTAATTGTGTGGATCAACAGTGAAGATGTGGATCGTGAGGAGAAAATTAGCAAAACCCTGTTTGTCGAAAACGGTCTTGACGAGGTCATTGAATATGTTTATGGCACTGATCCTTGTATGCTGGTGAAGCAGTTGAAGAACATAGATTTTGGGGTTGTTGACTTCAGGCTAAAAGATCACTTGAAATTGTTGAAGATTATGAACTTTAACCCAAATGGGTGCGTAGTTGTAGGAACCAACGTTGATGACC